AGAGAGAGAGAGAGAGAGGGAGGAAATACACTAGCATGATGATAGCAATTTTGCAAAGAACTGAACAAGGAGTTCTGGAATGTCAATTAAAGGCACGGTAGTAAAAGTCACACATCAAGAAAAGAATGGAACCTGTTACCAGCAGTAAGAGTTCAGAAAGTACAAAAAAAGAATAGGTGAATCAAACTAAATCCAACCAGAATACTGAATGTGACCCAAAGCTTGACAGAACTCTCCTGTATCCCCACCTCCAACTTCATATTTTGCGGTCTAAAACTGTGTCCAATATTATGGTACAAGAGGAAAGCAAAAGAAAATGTGTTTTGACACTTGACCATTAAACATTGTAAGCTAAAAATGGTCCAGAATATTGCATGTCTGAAGCAGAATATTAAGTGTTACCTCAGCAAGCCCACTCTCAACCATCAATTCACATCTCCTGCGAAATGAATCCTTCTTGCCTACGGTATCTAACTGCACACTCTTCCTACCAACTTCACTGTTCTCATTATCTGTCATGGGAGCCTCCCCATTTTGGCATTGCTCCAAGCCAACTTCCATGGGGTCCTCTGTCTCTTCCGCCTGAGATGGAAGTGAACGGATTCATATGATGCACATCTGCTACTAGCTTGAATTACATAATGATGGAAATAATGTTTGCCTGTGCAGAAAGGGAAGGAACAGATAAACTTAGACAAGCCAAATCCTCAGGTGCAAAATAGCGTGAACATTGTGGATGAAGTAGCTGCAGTACTGTACGTCTTCCATTCTGGTAATTCATGAGATCTCTTTTCTCTTAGTTGCAAGAATCGGATCAAGAAACACTTCAAAAAATGTCAGCTATTGATCAGAACAAAGTAACTACCTTATCCAATACCAGCTCCTTCAGCATTGTTTGCATCTCCCGTATTACAATCTGACAAATGATATAAAAAAATTTCAACAAATTTCAGAAGGTCAAAATCAAAATTTTAACATCAAATATCAAACGAGCAATCACTGACCTTTGTTACAAGCTTCGTATCATCAACTACCGAAAGGACACAAACTAGCAACTGGAATAAAATTTTGCCAAATTAGTACAAACTTATTATGCCATATAATTGAATTCATATACTGTTCAAAATCACAAATAAAGCGTTAGGACACCTCAAATTTTATATACCGGTTTAATCCATCAATAACTCCCGATGTGGAGCCATTAGTGTTTCATAATATGTCGCTCCCAAAGACGATTCCTCGTCAATGTACAACATATATAAAATGGTTTTTGGACACACAGAACATCAATGGTAACTCCACATCAAGGCATGCCCATTGCACCATTCATGATAGCAATTTCCTACATGTCATAATCCACTCCATACAAATTGTCATAACCTAACTCAATAGATTAATTGCTTAGAAACTCGGATAGACTCAAGTTATTAGTTGCCAGTCCACTAAATCTTATGTACCAATGTAATCCATGAATAACACCAAAAGTTTCCAAATAAGCAAATATAAAGAGCCCTGAGTTTCCGAATGGTCCCTAAAAGAGTACAGAAAATTAGTGAATTACAGCAGAATATGATAGGTCACCAGAAGCTTTCTGATCAAATTCCTCCACTATTCAATATTTGTAACAGAAGGCAGTGGAGTATTCTTGATATTTGATAAGGCAAGCTATCACTGTAAAACTAAAAAGGTCACAAGTTTCCAGATCAAATATGTACAAAATGACTGTAGATCATACTGGAAACCGCTGCTAACAAGAAAAGACATGCCATTGGCACATATTATGATAACAGAAGAATTGTAGAATACATATTTAAAGCCAAAAAATTTGCAAGTCTGATCAAAATAATGTTAACAAGGGACAATAGAAATATGATGGACGAAAGCAATGCTAGAGAGCAACATCATATTGTCAAACTGAATTTAGACAGTTCATACAGATGCTTATGTATTTTGAGGGTTGAGAAAAGGGTGCTTACAAGACTCCCAAGTTGATCAAGTGAAAGCTTTCTGACATGACCCTTTATGCCTTTAATAACCTTTTTTCTTTCCTGTGAAATTGAATCAAGTTAAAACATTCCAAACAAAAGAAATACTCAAGTTTATAGGATAAAGAAGCTAAGCTGATTCCTGTGGTATTATATGCTGTGTAATCTAGAAGACCAAATCATAGATTTCCATGCCCGATCAAGAATGATAGCATATTGATAAAAGCCACTTCAATTAGTGATTAGAAGGCAAGTATATGCATGACTACGAGAAATAAAAGCAACAGATGCATCAAGTTATCATGAGAATTACCTGAGATCAATTAGGCAATGCACCATAAATCGCATTGTATATAGTAAATAAGCACCTCAACTAACTGGCTGAAGGGAAGACAAAATTGAACACACAAACATTATTACACACCTTTGCGCTTGCATGCTTGACACAGAGGATACAGATCTTTAGACCATCTCTTGTGCGAATCATCCGAGCAAGAAGTGGTTCTTTCACATTTTTGTTTTTAATTTTCCTCTTTTTCTGCATCTCTGGAGCTGAGAAATAAGGACTCTCCTCTGCAGAAGCTGACTCTCGCACAAGAAGAGGTAATAATTGTTGAATCACGTCTGCAGCAGAGGACTTCAAATGCAAAAAATAGACACAAACTTTAAGTTTTAAAAAGCATAAAGCTATACAACATATAGATGCAGTAGGTAAACATGACAAAGATCACCTTATCAGCAATTGTGAAAAACTCCATGAGGGCCTTGTGTATAATGGAATGATCAACAATCCCTTTTTCCAAAAGTGACTGAATCACAGACATCATGTGTTGCAACACAGATGATTTTTGTAGTCCAAGTTTAGAAATTATATCCACCAGCCTGATATGAGATGGGACACATCAGAAGAAAATAACATAAAAAGTCGATGGCAACAGAAACATTGTTGTGTTATAAAACCATGTCAGCTAACATAAATAACATAATCGTTATATTATATAAAAGCATAAAAAATATCGCAGTAGGGTGTTTAAGGTTGCATGGTATGTTTCACCACTGGAATTTGTTTTAGAAGCCCTGAATAGGCTCAAAGTATTATCTTTTGATTAGAAGATCAGATTTTTGTTAGGAAATTTGGTTAACCTCTTTGGAAGCATTCCTTCTTTATCCTATCCTTTTCCAGGTCACATCAGCACCTAGATCTAATGACTTAGTCTGCAGCTACCAAACACATCACTTAAATGCTTTCTTAAATCTGTCAGGAAATACTTGTTGAATATGAGTCACATACTTCCACTACGTATCCAAACTTACAGATAATTATTGAAAAGATTGGATACTTTTAGCCTCATAGGATATTTCAGGGTAGTATTTTGTTCGTTAACTATCATAGAGATGGATATATGATTAGATAGACTATTTACATGCCTTCTGTATTAACCATCAAATTATTGAAATATGAAACTAGTAGAATCATATTGCTCCATTTAGAAGTTCTTCTTACCCTCACTATATGCTTGAAATACAATGCCATTAAGCATAATTTTGTTTATGGATAATAGTTGTCTTCATGCATCGCCTATTCTAACAACATAAACAAATATTAACCTTTGTCATGTGCAACATTATATATTACAATATTTTTTTTGTAATATCAACTCCTATTTTTCAAAGGTTTGATATAGATTTATCCATGTCGTGTTGGATTGCTAATGCAAGTTGTACCATGTTTAAATGTCCAAGGAATTCTGATTTAATTTGGTAATTATCCACGTGGTTCAACACCGAATCCGAGAGAAGTCAGGTAGTTTTTCGTAATTCCTTAGTTAGTAGTTCTATTCTTTAGTTTTATTGAGTATTTATTTAAGAGTATCTAGCTACTGAAAATCAATAATGCATATATCGTTTGTTCAACATTTAACAAAAAAAAGCAAAAAAGTTTCCATGCCTATCCCTAGGACACTATACTCCCATTTCTCCCTTATTGCCCTTATATTGCTTCCCACTAATGAAGTTGGTGTCTATAAGTTTCAGATAAAATAAGCCCTAAATATATTACAATTCATACAAATTCCCCGGGTATAATCTCCTAACAATGAGTCAACATGCTCATCAGTTTTGTCAGAACCACATTGGAGAATAAGAAAAATAAAGAAAGCAATTTTAAAATACAACCAAGCAAAAAAACAATCATACAGTTTTCTTGTCCATATCCGTTAGCCATAATATATCATCCTCATTGAGGACGATTCAGAATTCGTATGGCCAAAGATGATTTCCATATTGCAAAAGAGGAAAGAATATGCATTCATAACCCGAAAATACAAAGACAAGTGCAGTCCAAAGAATCTCTTATGTTCCAATTACCTGCCTGAATTTGTTAAGGTCAGGTCCTTAAATAATTGAAGCTCTGTAGAGTACATCTCCATCAAAAGGATTTGCTTTTGGGATCCATTTGCCAAATGGAATACATAGTCAATGACTACACGGAGAAACAAGATACCAAGAAATTTTGTTAAAAAGATATTGAAAATATAAGCAGTTATACAAAAGCTCTAAAAATCCTTTTATAAAAAATAAGCCAACACATATTGGCGATAAAAAGAAAGAGAGTGCACAATAACCTCATCAAAAGATGTGTAACACTCAAAATGACTGTTCATTTGTTGAGGGTCTTTTTGGTTGGAACAAAGTAAATAAAAAGGTACAGAACAAGTAATTTTTTATTTCATAGGGGGGCCAGTGTTGGTGACAGGTGGGGGCCATTGTTGTAAACCTAAACAATTCAGTCAAATGATCATATAATTTGCATCTACGTAGAAAGAATTTAGCTTAATTTACGTTAAAAACGGCATGTGTTATATGTATTCCTATATAAAGGACTTGTTGAATTAAACCGAAACTGAATTATGTATATAAATAGCCTTTCCAAAGAAAACATCGAGTTAACCACAGCAGAAAATCATGGAGATAAGTAGATAAGTTAAGCTCAAATATCATGGGCAAGGTCCATAACAAGACCATATAATAGTGATAAACTATACACTTATTCATAAAAGCTTTTATCGAGTCTTATTATAAGTCTAAGCAACCTCAACTCATTGGATTGGCAAGTCTTAAGGCTTTAAACCTTAGAATTCCTAGATATACAAGGGGGGTTACCGAAGAAGGGCGAAGGAGAAGGGTTGTTTTTGACAAAATAAATATAGAGCAATCACAAAGGCTTTAATTTGGGCATCAGTTGTTAAACTAGACACATGTATAAACTTCAAATTAATAAAATTGTGGCAAGATGCCTCGATAAGAATTCCTCTGAATTACACCTCATGCAGTTACAGTATAATTAAATTTGGATTGTGAATAGCCCGCAGGTCCATTTTCCATAATCAAAATTATGATCAAATAACAATATATACTAGAATGCTTAAATTTTTGATACCCTACAAACCTGCAGATCCAACTGAATGTCGCAGAAGAGAAGTCACATGCCCATGTAGAGAGGATATGAACCATTCTAGTTGTTTTTTGCTAGCTGAGGAACACAAAAGAAATCTCATTCAACAATGGAAAAGATCCACATAATTCAAATCTAGCTTTACCATAAAACATATCCAGTTCACAAGTTATATGACTTACCATGATCTAAAAGTTTCTTTACTAAATGAACTGCATACTTTTTCCGTGAAAGAGCAAGAAGATGAGGCCGAAGAGCCTCAAAAACAGCATCTCTTTCTTCTTGTGTACAATATTTGACACACGTCTGGTAAATAGTAAAACACCATAAAAGAACTAAATAAGTTAATAATAGAATGAAAAAGCATAATATCCATCACATGCTTTGTCGTATAAAATTTTAAACATCTAAAACTCCTGAGGGTTCCAAAATCTAACATTGAGAACACATAAAAGAAGTCTGTTGTTCACAAGAAAAATGTCAGAAGTATGAAAATAAACTCACTTGAAGAACACGTGCCGCAACATGAGAGCCTGCAATCTCCACAAACTTCCCATTCATCTTACGTAAGGCTTCACTTACAAGCCTAAAGAAATACTGTCCCTGTAAATAGCAGAGAGATAATGGAGAGCAATAAAACAGTTGAGCACTTACTCGGATCTCGCCTGTTTGCCAACGTTGTAACATCTCATTTTTTCCCACAATGAAGCAAGCTCCTGCAAAACATCAAATTCAACTCTTATTAGCAGTTTCTTTAGAAAAGGTTTAGAAAAAAATCTCAAGCATTACTCAAATATGCATATTGTATGTCAAAAGGGTGAAAAAGATCAGAAATTAACTATATGGAAATCAAAGGGTTTCTTAAGCCATAATCTATAGTTTGAGAAAACAAAAAGTGTTGCACCAAATTACTTTACACAATAAATTTAAGCATATTGGCTTGCTATAAGCTAAGAGCTAATACATGTACATTGGTGAGCAACTTGGTACCAGTGAACTAACGGCTTAAGTGTACTACCAATGACACCTGGGTTTTTCTTCTCCATTCTATGTTCTTAGCTGCCATCAATGTTGTTCATTCTTGTTGGCGGAGCCTTCCTTACTCATCTCTCCCAGGAGACTAGTACAGTAGTTTATTAGCATTAAGTTTTCACTAATCATCTCTCCCGGGAGACTAGTACAGTAGCGTATTAGCATTAAGTTTTCACCAAGGATTGTCATGTCAATTACCACATGTTGTGCATGGACTTACCAACCAGCAAAGACCAACTTCATTCAGCAAATCCTTTCTCCATAAAAGGACAATCCTTGGTTTTCAAGACAGTGTCCACTGACATACTTCTTGGTCTTCTTCTTTTGCCCTATTCCTAAGTTTCTGGAAACATGGTTGGTTGCCTTCATTTCCATGTTATCCCTTCTTATACCAAAAATAACTAAACCCTCAATTTCATCCTAAGTGTTGCACATCATAAGCCTAAATCAACTGTGACACATAGATCAAACGTCAATGTGTCTTATTATAGAACAAGTGTTTGTCTGTCACACGAGAGATTTAATATGCCGACAAAAATCCTGGCACAGCATCATGTCCCTGAACCATCACCTTGCTGACATCGCACATGCCACGAGACATAGTAAACAAAATTCAACCAAACAATTGAGGCTACTAAATCCTGCTGAAACTAGGACACAAACAGAACAAGTGGATCAAACTATTGGTTTTGATTATGCTATTTACACCTACAAACACAAGAAAAATAACAACAACAACCAAAAAAGTTATTCCAAGAACCATTCAAATAAGACATTGTTGGAACAAATCATGTAATCATTAGGCAACTCAACATAAGCTGCAGTATAATAGAGGAAGAGAAGATATTTGTGCAGTTAAAATCAAGCTTACTTTCTCAAGGTTGTAATTTGGTTTCCTCTTCTTCTTCCTTGTTTCTGCCATTTCCTGGACAAACCAAACGGTATCAAAAATCTGGGAACATTCTCAGACATCACAGTTTAAATGCAAATTAAACTAAAGTTAGCATTTTAAATAGTAGACTAATAATGCATGTACCCCATGAGGATTAGAAGCCTCTCCATGACAATTAACCTTCAGGAATTACACTCCATCTTAAAGAAATATAGATAGCTGCATACAGAAATTGAAGTATGCAAGTATACAAGTTCTCTCGTCTGCCAACCTTCTCTTACACCAAAGGAACCAAGCAAACAAAGGGTCTATGTCAAAGACAATTGAATTCCAAGAATATTCAGTCAAGCCAATCGAATTGAGGAATAGGAGAAGATCTCGTCCATCAGTACTCTTACAAAAAGTTCAAGAAAATGATCTCTAAATCAAATAAATAATCAATTAAATACAAAGATTACTCAGTCCGATTCAATCTTATAAAGCACAAAGACCGAGAAAAAAATGAATCAATCTGCAAACTTCTAATCGTACTACAAAGAAACCCAAAAGCCCCAAACAAAATCAGGCAAGCATATGACGGCAGTGCAGCAAACCTTAGCAGCCAAGCGCCTCTCCCTTGGGGTCTTAGGCTCCTTCTTCGCCTGTACAGCGGTCTCATCGCCGAATTTCGTAGGCTTTCCCGGTTTTAACTCGAACGCCTTGGGCTGCTTCTTGAAGCCTTGCGTTTTGAGATTCGCCGGCTTGGAGGCAGCGTTCTTAAGCTGCGTCAACTTGGGCTTCCCCCCTCCCTTCGCCGCTGAAGGCTCGCGCTTCCTCTTCTTGGATCCGCCGATCTCTCCCACGGCCGCCATGATCGATCGAAGGAGAAAGCGCTTGCGACCCGGGCTAACTTACGGATGAACAACTTAGGGTTTTTGGATGGGGTTTAAGGATCCACAAATGGATCGGGCCGACCCGTCGATTCACCAAACCGGCCCAAAAACACATCCAAGGAAACGATTATAATATTTTATTATTATTTATGATCCCTAGTTTACTATCTAAATTTTCTTTTTTTATATTTTAATATATCTAAACTATTTATTTATAAATATATTTAAATATCCTTATTTTCTTTCTGTTTTTTTCTTCTTTTTCTCAAATAGTAGAATTGCTAACAATAGTGTCATCAAAACATTGGCAATGGATGGAGAGATTAGGCCTCACAATTGATGGCTTAAGCTTTCTCTTCTTCGTAGAGTAAATGGCAATAGTGATGATGCCGACGAAAGATTAACGATAAACAAACAAGCTTAGGGCAACAATAGACAATAGTGACTTCCTCCCCTTTCATAGTCAACAAAGCCAATAATACAGTCGGTGGAAGATCGATGGGCAAGATAGGGTTGGTGATCGACAACAATAACTTTCTCTTCTTCCATAGCTAGCAAAGTCGATGATAGCGTCAGCAGAAGATCGATGGTAGATGAGTAAGATCGATGGCGTCAACGAAAGATCAATGACACGTGGGCAAATTAAAGTCGACGATCGATGACAACGGGTGATGAGAGCAAGGCAGTTGGCACTTTTGTAACAGTAGGCACATAGGCAAGGACCGTGTGAAAAAAAAGAAAATGAAAAATATAAAAGTAAAAATAAAATTAGAGAGATTATGAATAATAATTTTTTTATTAATTTTTAAGCAATTGTGAATGAAAATAAGGAGGTCTTAAACAGTAAGCTCCATATAATATTATTCAAACTAAATTTAATTATGTAAATATAAATATTTTTTATCAATCTATTTTTTAGAAAAATATAAAACTAAAATCCTTTATTTTTATTTTTTTGGTGACGTTGGAAAAGTTGATAAATAAATCATCCTTACTATCACTCCATGCAACTATTTAGTCATTCTTTTTCTATTTATAATTTAGGCATTAACAAAAAGATCATTATCAAACAGTCACTTATTTACAAACCTCACTTGGGATTATTATTTTTTTCATTTCATGAAAAACCATTTTTACTCGATTTAATCTCGTCCTTGTCAGAAATGGTTACCTGATGCCATGGAAGAGGGCTGACTCACTTCTATCTCAGCTCTTATAGTATCTGCAATAAATTAGAGTCAATAAAGCAATAGTCTTTTTCTTTTCAATTTTCATAGCCTATTGTTATCATTTAATAAAATTACTATAACNTAGTTTAATATAA